TTTATAAAATTTTCCTTAATATATTACTGATTATAATTATCTTATTGGACGTATTATAATTTACTATAAATCATATTTTTTTCATATTGTGTGTTAATTTTAAATTTTTTCTACTGATATTTATATTGATTGATTTGTTGTATTTATTTATTTTATTTTATGACTAATAATTATTCCCACGTACAAATGGCTACTATATTACTAGAAGTAGTGCTTATTTTTCAAAAAACAATAGAAGTGAATACAAATTGGATKCTAGGTGATTTCATCACTTGTGTAAATTTAAATAAATTGAAGAATTACTGCGAGTAAAGTATCAAAAGAAAAAAAAATTCCCAGTTCCAACCATGTTTATGGGTACCTAGGCACTTTTACACTTCTTGTTTTATACCTTTTTTCATGACCCAAATATTAAAAAAATTACATTATCCGATTTTTAATTTATTGAGGCTTAATGAAAAATTTGATACCTAAAAATGAATTATACAATTAAGTTACATAATAATATAACGTATTTAAAAGTTATGTTGTTTAAACAGTAAAAATTAATTCTATACCTACCAATGCATACATTATAACAAACTTAAATAAACTATTAAAATTACAAAACTAATTAAAACTCACTTGTAGATCTATATAAAAGTCCCGTGCTTGTTCCAGCAATAATATTATTATAAATGTCATCTTTTTGGCCTCGAGTCTTCTCTAGTATTATACCAAAAATACTATAGTATACCACTAATGTTCCAAATTTTTCTGAGATACTAGATCCATGTTTTAAAACGCTATTTAACAAACTATAAATCTCATTTTATTACTTCCTAATAAATACAATATTAATATATATATATATATATATAAAATTCAAATTTATCAAATGGATACAAATAAGATAATAATAAAATGTCTTACAGTGTTCTGTTGTATGTACCAGTTTGTTTATTGAGCAATACGATTTTCATACCACAATGTACTCCACGCATAATGCCAATTGTAGCACCCACCGAGTACCATGTACCGATTTCAATAAAACACATTTCAAAACGTCCCCGTTGCTTAGAACCAACACCRTCTATAAATATATACTCTGACTGAGAATGCTGAACTTGTGAGCCATGTTTTAAATATGGCGATGGGATCAATACTCCTTTTTTATCACCTGTAATAACAGAAGTGTTTGAGATTAATTCTAAGCTTACTTATTGGTATATATACACATCAAGTATGGAGGCCATAGATATTACATGCACAAAAAACATAATAGACTAAATACCTTTATTATCATCATTTAAATCTAACATGTTTGTAGCCGCCATCCTAAAAACAATAACGAAAACAAAATAAATAAAAGCATAAACAACCGTTTTAAGTTTTCTATTTATTTTACTTTGTATAAAAACGTATAAGTAGTACCTATTGTAGCGTACGATGACTGTAACAAAGATACGAATGCGAAGAATGCGTAGCAATCTATCCAGAAACGCTTAGTTGATTACACCGTGCACTACCAACAGCATGCTACGAAAACTATGGTACACACACTGAGTACACATACCTGGGTACAAAGATCGATAATACTACCACCACCTACGAGCATATTTTGCACCCGTTGTGTAGACCGAGGGGGTTTACATTCATGAATGTTGGCGTGTAAGGTAGTGGCGCCACCTATATGCGTAGTGAGTTTGATCACGTCCTCGAATGCATTCAAATCCGGTAGTGGAATATCGATATTTTGTTATTTCCAGAACAGGAAATTTCTGTTTGAATTATTTATTATTGTTTGCTTTTTTAAATTAGTGTAGATAGGAAATATTTTATACATTGATCATTTTTACACGATCCTTGCTTCCAGGTGACTCTTCCCGCCACCAGAACGGTTAAATTTGGGGTGCAAATGGTAATGATGTCATGGGACAGTTGCAGCATCCCGTCCCCTACACCGATCCTATTGATTGTCATCGGCCCACACACCATAGTAATATAAAGAAAAAGACTTTAATCGTATCAAATAGAATTCATCGACTTTTATTGTGAAATTAGACCATATGAAAAATGATAAATGATAATAATGTAACAATGTAAAATATACATAACGGAAAATTTCAACCCCTTAAAAGTTATTTTAATAATAAAATACCATGGTCACGTACAAGCTTAGATCATATACTATTGATATAGTTACCTCATTATAAAAACGTTCTACATGTTTTACATAGGTACACCTGCACCTGCTGCACTCTGTATACACCTGCACACCCTACGATTTTTGGTGACGTCCATGGGACAGGTAAAAGGTTACGTAGTGATCACGAGTTCACGGTAGGACCCGTGATGGATTGTAAGAACGGTTTTCGCGAGCTTCATTGTCAACATCTGGTAATAGTAGTAAGTAACAAATAAATAAATTGAGTTCGATAAGAAAACAATAATAATAAGTAATACATTATAAGGTTTCATTATCAGTGCACCACAGATATGTTCGGCATTCACCTCCATGCATCGTGACCAATGTAATCAATTGACATATTATTAACATATTGTGTAATGYTATTTATTTATACGTGATTTTTTTAATTATTTGCCAGCTGACATCCGTTATATTATGAAATCTGAAATAGGGGATAACATTTTTTTAAATTCATATTACATACAATAATGACGAATTTTAGAGTAGGTAACAAAAATTATTCAAAAGAAAGGGAAGGGGTCTAGGTCCCTAAATCGGCTAAACCCTCTGGGTACGCAACAGGTTGCACACTCTGCGTCAAAGGTGTGGACGCGTCTCTAGTGTTGAAGAAATCATTATTGACTGGTGACAATGGTGACTGGAGACTGATTTCTATTTCGCATGCGTGTCAGTACTCGCTACATAATATTTATAATTTATACACATTATATAGAAATATATGAAACATTCGCTTCGAGGACTAGGCGGCGTGGTCGTGACAAACGGATTAAGAGAGGTAGCTTGAGTTTCATTTTAAGAGGACAGCCAATACATAGTTTTAACAGCCCCTGATAATCATAAAAAGCTTCACTCGTTTTCACACTTAATATTYCGTCTATTTTTATAAGTCTATGAGTAGTATGAAATAGAGAGTTCTCCTGGAAATCTTTACGATCCTAACGATCCTTACAATCTCTACGATCCTGACTATTATTAAGATCCTTACAATCTTTACGATCCTTACAATTTTTACGATTCTTACAATGTTATCACATCCACCGCCGCCCGATCATACACGTACGCGATGTATGTTTTCCCTCTCCTTGACCTCATATGGGAATACTTCAGAGTTTAAATATATCTTGGCGTTTTTTTTTTATTTTACTATGATCGAAAAATGACATTGCTTTACTTTCGACGCATTGATGACTAAGTATAACATACATAAATATTCTACATTTAGCATTATGAAAGCATGTACATATTGTAGAACGATTTAATCGCACATTAAAAGAAAAAATGTTTAGAGAGTTTACGGCGCGTGGCTCAAACGAATGGMTTTCAATTTTACCGTTGCTGCTTAACGAATATAATAATTCAAGGCATAGAACTATAGAAATGACACCAATACAAACAGATTCCGACCCCGCTTTAGTAGTAATAAAACAGCGTAAAATTAATTATGAAAAAATTAAATTCCAAGTCGGTGATAACGTTCGTATCAGTACACAAAAAGGCGTGTTTACCAAAAGGTTATTTGCCAAACTGGTCCACGGAAATATTCGAGATCATCAAAATAAATAAAACATTACCCATTACTTATCAATTGCAAGATTATATGGGTGAACCTATATCAGGTTGTTTTTACTCAGAAGAAATATGGAAAACTAATTTCCCAAACGAATATTTAATCGAAAAAAGCTATTCGTAGGAAAAGCGATAAAATGTTTGTAAAATGGTTAGGGTTCGATAATACACATAATAGCTGRATAAGTACATKTGATTTTAAAAAATAGTGCTAGTCGTCTTATAACTATGAACGTGTTTGGTAGTTCTCAGGCTAGTGATATTAAAAAAATTATTTCCGATATTCAATCAAGTAATAAAACAATTCTAAATGATGTGAAATTTCATCAGAAAGAAATTGATACTTTGAAAAGTAATATTGTTGATCTAGGTACATTTAAAAATAAAATCGTTGGAAAATAATATACGAACAAGTAATAAGTCTTTATTAAATTGTAAAATCGTATGTCAGAGCTATTTAATAACTATATGCTATGCTGCAACTAGTACAGCAATAGGTATCTTCGTGATAATTTCACACATGTGCATTTGCCTCAATTCCCCTATGCTAAATTGGCTTTAACCAATAAGTGAGATCAGAGAGACTCACTGTAATATGTCCTAGACTTTCGAGAGGCTCGGCGTTGATGGAAATAATTATACTTCAATATATATTAGAYAAATGTTTCAAAATTAGTTGTTATTTAAGAGGGCCTAGGATTTAGTTCTGTGCCACTRCCAAAAATATGCGTGGGGGCCTGGATCTATTCATTGCWTATCATCGAAAGGTACACTTGTTCAGTTTGTATGAGCCATTGTTATATTGTTCCAGTACTTATTATGTAAAAGTATAAAATGTATTTAAACAATAAATATTTACAAATAATATTAGAATTCATATCACCGATTATCATCGTAAAACATTATTTATTATGAAATTAATTTAAAATATAATATATTCGTATAAGAGCTTGAAATATTTCAAACAATTTAATACAAATATGGCTCTATATAAACAGTACCTAACTTCAATAAAATATTGGTCGAGCTTGAGACTTATAAAAAAAAAAAAAACATTTTCGTGCATGAGATTGGTTGTGTATTTGAAATGGTCAAATAATTATTTGAATAAATTTAAATAATAATAAACGATAGGTAACAAATTATTTAATTAAATAGCAATTAATACACATACACTGAATTCATGACTCTTGAGATAGTTGTGTATTAGAATCTAATTATAGAAACTAATAGAAGTTAATATATTAGGACAATTTGTTAAAAATAAGAACTATACAATTAATGTCAATAGACAATAAATGATAGTAACTAAMAAATTAATGTTTGTATTGTTTGTTATAAATATTCAAATTTAAGAGGGAAGTCTTATCATTGGTCAAATAGTATCATCATATTATATGACTGATAACATAGTAGATAATTGGTAAAAGAAAGCTGAAGCTTTGAATAAAATATTACACTATTTACATCAAATCGTAATGGAACATTAYTGACATAGAACATAATATTAAAACTGACATTAAAATACCATGGTTCCTTGAAAAATATTTCAGTTGAATTTTTAATGCTTAAAATTCACGGTTATCACTTTTTTTCTGAGATATTCGTGATAACTGATAATGTAATGTTAATTGTAAAAATGTAATGATCTTAAATGTAATGATCTTTTATGTAAGTATGAATAAATAATTAGTTTAAATGTTGTGCATGCTAATAATTACTAAATTTCTACGTAWATTAGTGGTGAGTATTAAATTTTGACTATAAATGATACATCAAGATATTGTGTTAATTCAAATAATTTACAGAAAAAATGTTTATAACATCAGAATAATGTAATCAAGCTATCGCCTATCAGCTGTTTGACCACAGTCTGTAATACACTATAAAGATTTAAATTATTATAATTATTCTTAACAAACTGGTTGAGACSTGACTGTCGTAYACAGTCATAGTGTCTTCTGCCTATTGTGCTACGATCAGTGTAGTTTTTCTGAGTGTGCAGTAAATAGGTAGGTACTAATCAATAAGTTCTCATTTTCATAAACGGATTTCGATTTTTTCATTTGAGGTATATCATTGTTTTATATTATTTCGTTTCTTTGGAAGGATGTACAATATACCTAGATACTTTGGATTTTCAAGGGTATACTGTAGGTTTTGAATACAATATTTTGTCTATTTATTTGTGGTTATTGATTGATAAATTATTATTATTTTAATTTGTTATTTTATATCCTTTAGCATTCAGAAATTAGAAATTAAAAATRTTAATTAATTAGGTTTGTATAATGTGTAATAAGCTGAAGTGTTACTATACAAGATACCTACTTAAAAACACTTTAATTTTATGTTTTTAGCCCAGTTTTTAGTTAGTAAAAAAAGCTTTTTTCTATTTAGAATGCTGTTATACTGGAAAATTAATAGTTTATTTATTTATTTATTTTTTTAATAATTCAATTATTAATTAAAAATATAAAAATTTTATTAGTACCTAGATAGGTATTTATTAAAATTATATTAATACTTATAATTATAACAATGTCATAATCATTATTACCATAAGGTTCTACACATTTTTTAAGGCCAAAACTAAACATTACATAATAGTTTATAGGCATACCGCATAGGAACTTAGAGATTCAATTTTTTCAGAAATAATTTTCATATCTTAATAAGCTTTTTTATTTGTTATACTGAATGTTGGTCAATAATTATTATTCAGCTATCAGATAAATGTAATTAAAAATACATATGTACTTTTATATCAGGTATGCTAACAGAAAAATCAAATTGAATAATATTAGATTTCACTTTAATCCAAATATTTGATCTAATGTTAAAACTGTAGATGTTATTCTAAATCATCATTATTTTTTTCATTTCAAATAGGAATATTAGTTTGGTTTGAAACTTATATTAGTATTGACTTTTTGTTTTATTTTTTAAATTAAAGCACTAAATTTTTGGTTTAGTATAAACATTATAAAACTAGATATTTATTTATTAATGTGCATTAGGAACACATCATTGCCGCACAATAGAGATAAAAATAAGTATAGTACAACAATAGAAAAAGAACATATYGATCTAGTAATTATTATAATCTATACTTTTCATTAATTTCCAAACTATTTCACTCTCATAKTCTCATGATATGTTACCTATAAAATGTAGACATTTCAGTATAGGTAYTTAGTAATGTTAACTTGTAATCCATTAAACACAGTTGGACTAACAATGCCATTACTAGCACCTTACTTTACCTATTTAATATTTTAATTTATTTGTATTCATTTATCAACAGGTTATATATTATTATGAAGCTGATTTTTAAGTCACTGGGTACATTACCCTTACGTCGGTTTTTATCAACTGTACCCCAACTATTAAATCCTGTACMAGAAGCTACCCTAGAAGAATGCTGTATTCTTGTTAATCAACATGACCAAAAGTGTGGCTTTGTGAGTAAACGAGACTATCATAGACTAGTAAATGGGAACCTTCCTTTATATTGTGCGTTTAGTGTTTTCTTGTTCAATACTTAGGATGAACTACTATTACAACAGCTTTCATCGACCAAGATCACATTCCCTGATCACTATACAAATTCTTGCTGCAGTCATCCGTTATACGAGATTCAACATGATCGTAAAGATTTAGAAGGAGCTAAAGCTGCTGCTTGTCGTAGGCTGGTTTTTGAATTAGKCATTCCTGCAAGCCAGTGTCAACCTAAAGACTTGCAATATATAACCAGGATAAAGTAATTACAASTAATCAATATATTTAAAAAAATTGTGCCTAACTTGATGTGTTTTTTAGGTATATGTCTGAAGTAGATCRAACCTGGGATGAACACAAAATTGATTACACATTTATTTTGCACAAAGATGTTTCTTTGGACCCCAATCCAGATGAGGTGATTATACTTTCCTATATATTCTTAAATCAAAAATGAATAAATTCTTAAAGAATTTGAATCATCCAATTATACCATGTTTCAATCTCATTGCACAAAACAAACTGACAAACTGGTGGGACAATGATAACCRACTGTGTGACGGAGAGAAGACCTGTTGCCATATCCTGCTGGCTTGTGCCGTTTCACCATCATCTCACAGGAAGGCACATGCCACCCTTCGCAACGAGCCCTCATCCCTCCAGAACGGATAGCGGCTCCCCGGCAACTCAATTAAGGCTGGTGGGACAATCAAAGATCTCTGGAGAAAGTCATGAATCATAAAAAAATTATTACCTATTAAACAATTTTCTATCATGGAAAATATTAATTTAGACTGGGACTATATAAACATTTTTACTGCTTGAAGTATGCAAAGGCAGTCAAGTTCATAAAAATAACTCAAGTTTGGTTAARTTAGAGAATATAAGATCAATAAGTTTGAAGTTAACTCTTAACTAATAAAAAATTAACTCAATAAGTTAAAAGTTAATATAGAAAAAAAAAATCTTAACCTGGTTTATAATAAATTATTATAATTTTTTCAATTGGTATCTGGATCAAATAATAAGTGATATTGGTTTTTGTAATTTMTTAAATAAACATATGAACAATTTTATAGAATTTTTATCGTGAGGTACACTGTTAAATATATATACTTATCTTATTTTACATGATAATTAGATTTTTAAACTATGCACATCTCAATTAATAGTTTAACAAATATTAAATTATTAAGATCATTTAATATAATATGCCTATCTAATATTCCAATCTGCCTACTTATATACTTATATTCAGTGGCRGCTTGAACTTTTTTCCTTTGAATCACGTTTAATATTTTTACACAACCCACCCTAAAATATATTTATTAGTTATTACTTATTACTGTACATTATCTGCTGAGTACACATTGTGGCTATATAT